GGTTTATTCCTTCTCTTTAAAATCATGGGGGCTACATGGGTTAATGAAAATAAATCAGAGGCCGGGCGCAGTGGCTCATGCCTGTAATCCCAGCACTTTGGGAGGCCGAGGCGGGTGGATCATGAGGTCAAGAGATCGAGACCATCCTGGTCAGCATGGTGAAACCCCGTCTCTACTAAAAATACAAAAAATTAGCCGGGCATGGTGGCACGTGCCTGTAATCCCAGCTACTCAGGAGGCTGAGGCAGGAGAATTGCCTGACCCCAGGAGGCGGAGGTTGCAGTGAGCCGAGATCACGCCATTGCACTCCAGCCTGGGTAACAACAGCAAGACTCAGGCTCAAAAAAAAAATAAAGAAATCAGAATGTAGGGGGCAGACAAAAGTTTTAACTTTAGCTTGAGGATTTTAAAAAATTGTAGAACTGGGAAAATTAAGTTTTCTTGGACTCTTATGTGTCAAATGAGACCAATGTTAGTGAACACACCTCTCACATATCAGGCACATAAATTTTTTTTAATGTCAGAGATTTCTTTCTAAAGAACTCGTATTAGCAAGACTCATTTTAGAAATAAATATAAAATAAAGAGGCATGTGTTCTTTGATTACATCAATCTGTAACCCCTGCATTTTATGAGACAGGTATATCACAGAAGCATTAATCACACAACTTACGTCACAACGTTTTCTACATCCCAGCAGTTTTGATTTGGTTATGTAGTTTGGGTTTGTTTTTCTTTTTATGAACGTAATAGTGTATTTGTTTTAATTCTGCTTTTTGGGGTTTTTTAGTCCCCTCTCTAATATTTTGCAGACTTTCCAGTATGAAATCAACACCTCTGGGACATCCTGACAGATACTTGACCTTCTTAATAATATTTTATTGTATCTTTAACTAGATTGTAAAACATTTTATTGTATCTTTAACTAGATGAACTAGATTTTTAGAGCCTCCCCTTCCCATGTTTTGCACTTGTTAGCAATAGATTATTTAGCAAAGAAACATTTTATTAAAACTTTTATAATTGTATTTTAAGTAATAATATTTAATGTTAAGATGAGAGTGCACAGTAGTTAACCGAATTAGGTTCCATGAAGGAAAACAGAGTCTAAATGAAACACTCCAAGAAAAGGAGTTTAATACAAAAACAAAATAATAATAGCAGAGGTGTTGGGAAGAGTGAAAAACTAAGGAATATGAGGTACCCAGAAACTGATGGAAATCTAAGACTCTAGAGGAGAATGCAGGACCCAGTTGTCCAGCGGGGACTGGGATGTAGAGGATAGTCTGCCGAACAGTGCTCGACACCCAGCCTGAAATCATGGCAGGCATGACTGTCATCTTACTACTCCTGACTGTGGACTACTCACTTTGAACTCATGACAGTGTCTTACATTGTATGAATCTACCTGGAAACCACTAGGCACAGGAATCTGGGAAATAACTTAAAACAGCCCTCTTGGGGTTGCACATCTTTGCAGGCAGAGTACAGTAAGGAGTGAATGAGAGTTGACCCCCACGTGAACTGGATAGTCATCCACAGTGCTTTCAGAAATGGTGATACACACTAAAAGAGGCAGATAAAGTTGGCCTGTATTTTTGTTTACTAGTTGATTTAGGTTCAGTTCTCCCAAAAGGCAGGCCCCGTGCCAAACGTTTGAGTGAAATGACTTATTGAAACACCCTCTTAGGAGAAACAAGTGAAGAAATACAGGAAGCAGGATGGGGGAAAGAGGAGAAGCCAAGGAATGAAGCGATTTCTGGTGAAGAAAGGCCCAGTCGCAACCTGGTGCAGAGGGGAGCTGGTACCTGAGTTTTTCTTATGTTGAACCAAGGGTGCTAGGTTTTTAGATCTCCCCTCCCTCCCTCCTTCTGAAGAAAGTACACAAAACCAGCTTGGATACACGTCATCTAGGGAGGATGTGGCAACAGGGCAGGTCAGTTCTGTGAAGTTTGCCCCTGGCAACCCTTAGCAGTGAAGCACTCTGCTGGGTATTGGACACAGTACAAGAAAAAAGGATTACAGGGTGGAAGACAAACACCAGCCAAAGCAGTGCTTCATGACTGGAGTGAAAATACAGCCTACAGCTTACTCAGCTTGACAGCTCTAAAGTGTGGGTTTTGACTATGTTTACTTTGGTGGGACTGCTCATAATCTGAAATTTTGTATAAAAGGTGAATTTATGTTAATTTTATATGGCACTGTATTTGTCATAAGGTTGATTGAGGGAGGGTTGAATATTTTAAATATAGTTCTTCTAAGTTTCATACACCCTCCATAGTAAGTTCCCATGAAATACTTTCTTTCCAGTCTATTTCTTTCCTTTATGAGCTGACTCAATCCAAGTGGTGTCCCGATACCTAGGTTTTCATTATAGAAATAGACCCAAAACTAATTCTTTTAATGTCTGGTTATATTAATACAATTAGCTTTTTTTGTTCTTTACTACTTAGTACTTTAGATTTTGGGCTTACCTGATATTTAGTCAGGTAATGAAATCAGTTTCACTCTTAGCTGTTTTTTATCTTTTAGAAAATGTCTCAGTACAGTTCTGTTTAAAATTTCCTTTCTGAGTCCTAAATGCTTCAAGTCTTCTTCTCCCATTCTTTTTCCTTCTCCTATTCATAGTTAACAAGTTCTTGCATGACATAGTTTAACTGCTGAAGCACCTGTGTTTCATTTTAAACATAGCTAGTTACTGTTATACTTGGATATACACAGTGAGGGAGTTTATGGCTTTGTTTTTCCTTCCCACAGACAATATCTCTGATTTCCTTTATTAAATGCTTTGTATTTCTTTTTCATTCTTTTTTTTTTTGAGATGGAGTTTCGCTCTTGTTACCCAGGCTGGAGTGCAATGGCGTGATCTCAGCTTACCGCAACCTCCGCCTCCTGGGTTCAGGCAATTCTCCTGCCTCAGCTTCCTGAGTAGCTGGGATTTCAGGCACGCGCCACCATGCCCAGCTAATTTTTTTGTGTTTTCAGTAGAGACGGGGTTTCACAATGTTGACCAGAATGGTCTCGATCTCTTGACCTCGTGATCCACCCACCTCGGCCTCCCAAAGTGCTGGGATTACAGGCTTGAGCCACCGCGCCTGGCAAATGCTTTGTATTTCTAATAAATAGTATATACGTAGCTCAACTGTTTTTGTTTTTTGAGACAGTCTTACTTTGCTGCCCAGACTGGAGTGCAGTGGTGCAGTCACAGGTCACTGCAGCCTGGACTTCACCAGCTCAAACAGTCCTCCTGCCTCAGCTTCCCAAGTAGATGAGACTATAGGCATGGACCACTACACGTGGCTAATTTTTATTTTTATTTTTAGAGATGAGATCCCACTGTCTTGCCTGAGCTGGTTTCAAACACCTGATGTCAAGCAGTTCTCCTGCCTTGACTTTCCAAAGTACTTAACACCTGGCCCACAGCTTAACTTTAACCCTCCTGTTTTTCTCCTTTAAGTTTTTTCTTTAAATTAGGGTTGACAGACTTTCCCTAAAGGACTTGCAAGTATTGTAGACATTGTGGGCCATAAGATCTCTGTTGCCACTAGTCAGTTCTGCCCTTGTAGTGAAAAAGCAGCCGCAGATAATATGCAACTGGTTTCAGTAAAACTCTTATTTATGGACACTAAGCTTTTAAATCTCATTTCACATTTGTATGACTTCCTTTGATCCCCTACTCCCTTTTGCAATATAAAAGCCATTCTTGGCTCATGCCATAGTTTGTCAACTCCTGCTTTAAATCCAGTGTCCTTGGTACGCTTCTGTTGCTTAACCCGGCTACTCATTTAACGCGGTTATTCACTATCATTACCGTGATCTGCGTTGCTAGTTGCGGAGATCCTTTGCACCTTTCATCAGTGGAAAATGAAGGGAAAGGATGTTTAATACATTTCAGAGCTAGAATCAGACTAAGTATTAAATGCCAGCCTGCTTTGGGGCTTCTGAGGCTTTAAATTCATTGGTTTTAAGAGGCATTTGATTTCAAGAGGTGTTTGACCAGAACAGATTTTGAGAGGTGTTTGACAGAAATTGCTTAGAAGAAAATTATTTGCCAATCATATGCCGTATTCCATTTGTTAGTTGAGTAGATGCTAATGGGAATGAAGCTAATTCAGTGTAACATTTATCTAATTTACAAAGTACTTTCCACACACATTACCTTGCCTGATCTTCACTGTGTGTACTAAGCTTAAAGATAGTGTAAGTTTAGTATCCCTTATCTAAGTGTTTGGGACCAGGAGTGTTTTGCATTTTTGATTTTTTTTTTTCCCCTGATCTTGGAATATTTGCATATACATAAAGCAATATCTTGGGTATGGGACCCAAGTCTGAGCATGAAATTAATTTATATTTTCCATACACCTATGCCATAGCTGGATGGTTTCATTATGGAGTATTTTCACTAGTTTTATGCATGAAATAAAGTTTGCATTAAGCATTTAATGTAGGGAAGTTTCCACTTGTGGCATCATGTTAGCATTCAAAAAGTTGCAGGTTTTGGAGCATTGTGGATTTTGGATTTTCATATTGGGGTGGTCAACTTGTGTGTTATCCCCACTCTTTAGATAAGGATATATCATGAGAAGTTAAGTGACTTGCTCGTGTCCACTAATTAGGCAGTGACAGAACCGAAGCTTCTTGTCCATTGAACACTCATGGAATTTAGAAATGAAAAGCATGATATCATCACATTTAATTTTATGAAAGATAACCTTAGACCCAGGGCTAGTAATTTTACAACTCAGCTCTCCCAGTTACTAGGCCAGTGTATTTTCTCTTAGGGTCTGCCTCACATGGAAATAATTAAACTAAAATTTGTTAATATTTGTTATATATAAATATCTTTATTTTGAATTTTTTCTTAATACCTTAAGAAGTCAAAAATAAAATGTTTAAATGCCTGTTAGCATATTTTATTAGTGAACAGTAGTGCAAAGCTACAACTCCAGGAATTTAGTCCATGTGGAATGAATGTCAGCCTAACCTTTGTTCCTTTGCAGCACCAGCACTGGATGTTGACTGGCAGAGCAACAACACCTTTGCTTCTTGTAGTACAGATATGTGCATTCACGTCTGTAAATTAGGACAAGACAGACCTATTAAAACATTCCAAGGACATACGGTAAGAAACCATTGTTTTCCACATTGAAGTGGTCATGATTAACAAACAATGTTTTAGAATAGTTTTAAAGTATGTTTTAGAATAGTTTTAAAGTATGTATGTCTAATACTCAAATAGCTACCCAGTCTATACAATGAAAATGTGAATATTTACTGTTGTTTTTAGAATGAAGTAAATGCTATCAAATGGGACCCAACTGGCAATCTCCTGGCCTCCTGTTCTGATGACATGACTTTAAAGGTAATTTGCTTAGTGGAGAGAATTGGGATGGGGGTGTCACATGGTGTGGTTGTTCTGGCTATTTTAAGACCGTGACTGTTTCTCTTACTTTGAGTGTTTAGGCCTGGATGAAAACTCCAACGTTTTAAATGGCTAACCGTTACTTTTAAAATTTTATACTTTCTTTTCTGAAATACATAAAAATATTTGAATATAGCAAATAAATTATATTAAAATGATGGCTTAGGGGGACCAGGCTCAGTGGGACTTAGGATACCCTATTAAGTTAGGGTTCTCCAGAGAAACAGAACCAATAGGAAGATGGATGGATGGATGGATGGATGATTGATTGATTTGCTATGAGAAATTGACTCACATGAATATAGAGTCTATAAGCTGGAGACCCATGAAAGCTGGAGGTATAGTTCCAGTCCAAGGCCAGAGAAGAAGTGCCCATGGTTTAGGTCCAGACCAGGAGCAGAAGACCAATATACCAACCCAGCCGTCAGGCTGAGGCAGAAAATTCCCACTTCCTCGGCGTTTTTGTTCTGTCTGGAGCCTCACTGGACTGAGTGATGCTGTCCTACATTGGTGAGGGCAGGCTGCTTTTCTCAGTCAGCTGAGTTAAATGCTCATCTCAACTGGAAACACCTCAGACACAGCTGGAAATAATGTCTAACCAAATATCTGTACCCTGTGACTCAGTCAGACAGATAAAATTAGCCATCACCAATACTGAGAAAGGTCATGCTATAAATTGTGTTCACCATTAGAAAGTCATATGTTGATACAATTAAAGTTTATTTGCATATAGAAATATTTGACTGATAAGGGCTCAAGATCTTTGTAGCATTCATGGATTTGGTTGAAATTCTTTGCGATGTTTTAATTTGATTTTGCTGTGGTATGAATGTATATCACCATTGCTGGGAAACTGATATACAGCAGAGAATCTCTCAGTGAGTGAGCCTCATTGACTTACCAACATCCACATCTCAACATGGATCTGTGTTTTTCTTGTATGATTCAAAGCAAAACTGCTGTCTTGCACCTAAGCACATCAGAGTCCACAGATGGGGAAAAAAGCATTTTGAGGTAAAAAAAAAAAAAAAAAAAACCTCATACTTATTTCCAAAATAAGTGAAGCTCTGAGCCCTCTTCTGCAACAGCTAACTCTACTGAAAACAGTTTTATCCTTCACTTTGCAGTACCAAGGACTGCGGATGTGATGGCCCTTACAGATAGGAAAATCATGAGGGAAAACTGCTTTTCCTGTTACTTTGAACAGTGGGAACCTTGTGAGGTTTTTTTCCCCTTAAGCTGTGTTTTTAGTTAGACAGTTCTTAAGTCTGGGATCCCTTACAAAATTACTAGTAAATATACTTTTCTCAATGCTTTCATCTTCGGCTTTTCCTCACATGCACATGCATTAATGCTTATAAGATGAAAAACTTCTGGAACAGTGTGTGACATGTATGAGGAAATGACAAGTGACAGAGGGTAGTGTCCAGAGGGCCTTGTGCCACATACTGAGTTGAAGCTGGAGAGAGGTTAAAACTAAAAATTGTTAGAGAGCTTTTCTTCATCCTAAGCATATTTAAATGTCATATAGGATTTTAAAGCAAAACCTGAAATGGATGGATAATATGTAACAGGCCATTTTCTGAGAAAAGGGAATGCAAGATGGAATGAGAAGGTAACGTTGAGCTTGAACAGTGTCTTTGAGTCGTGCAAGTGGAGGTGATAGGTGGGACTGATGCTTAGAGAACTGTAAGCTCGAGATTAAAAACTGGGAATTCTCAGCAGATAGGTGGTCATTGAAAGCCTTGGGCATAGCCAAGCCTGGTGGCTCACACCTGTAATTTCAGCACTTTGAGAGGCCCAGACAGGCAATTCACTTGAGGTCAGGGGTTTGAGACCATGCTGGTCAACATGGTGAAACCCCATCTCTACTAAAAATACAAAATTTAGCCAGGTGTGGTGGCAGGCGCCTGTAATCCCAGCTACTCAGGAGGCTGAAGCAAGAGAATCGCTTGAACCTGGGAGACAGAGGTTGCAGTGAGATGAGATCGTGCCACTGCACGCCAGCCAGGGTGACGGAGTAAGACTTAATCTCAAAAAAATAAAATTTGGGGGACCGGGTGCGGTGTCTCATGCCTGTAATCCCAGCACTTTGGGAGGCCAAGGAGGGTGGATCATGAGGTCAAGAGTTTGAGACCATCCTGGCAAACATGGTGAAACCCTGCCTTTATTAAAAATACAAAAATTAGCTGGTCGTGGTGGCGCATGCCTCTAGTCCCAGCTACTCAGGAGTCTGAGGCAGGAAAATCACTTGAACTTGGGGAGGTGGAGTTTGCACTGAGCCAAGATCGCGCCATTGCAGTCCAGCCTGGGTGACAGAGCGAGACTCTGTCTCAAAAAATAACAAATTCGGGCAGGGGCAGAACTGTATAGGTAGTACAGAGTAAGAAAAGAAAAGAGGGGACCTAAAGAAGTAAGTCTTAAGAAACTCAAGCAATCACCAAATCAAGGAGATGACTTTCCAAAGGAAACTGAAAAGGAATGAGCAAAGTGGAAAAAGAAAGCATGTAGAGAACAGCATTGCAAGAGAGGTAAGAGATGAGAGTGGCCAACAGCATAACATGCTGTGAATTAGAAAAGTCTCATGAAATCAGTTCCGAAAACATGTCATTTACATTTATTTCACTTGGGGTTGTAAATGGATAGGTCACCAAAAACACTGTGATGCTTCATTATCTTTTAATGGTCATGTCACGGAAATGAAAGTCGAGCTGATGTTTTTATTGCTTGGCCCTTGGGTTTGGGGTGTTGTATGTGTTTGTGGTAAGGAGGTACTGCAGGACCTACGATGTCTTTACTGAGTGATTTTTTTCCAGAAATACTCTTGGTGTTGATTTCTGTTAATTTTTGCTAAAAAAAAAAAAAAAAAACAAAAAAAACACACTTTTTTTTTTTCTTTCTCCTGCCTTTTATCCTAGTAATATACACTTTAAATCTATGTCCGGAGGCATGTTTTCATCTCAGGAAAGGCTTGTTCTCTACTTTGACTACTTTTTCCTACCCACCCCGCCCCGTACTTTTCATTTGAACTGTATTTCGTATGTTACTTTCCACAGTTCTTTTGCGAGTTGTTATTTCAGTTCTCCATTGCAAGATTTTCCTGATTCTAAAATTCTAAGAGCAGTTGATGATGTAGATCTTTTACTTTTAAGGGACAGTGTAAAAATGGTGCCTTTAGCACTTTAGGGTCATTACCCTATCAAAATTAATCTTAACTATAGTTAATTCAGTCTTCAAATTGGTAATAGTGAATATTTTTAACAGACTTAAAGCTAACTTGTTTTTTACAGAGATGTAAATATTCAATAATCCTCCTGTACTTCCGTTTCTTGTCAATATTCTCTACTGTTATTCTGGTTATATCACTCATTTTCAGCTGTCAGTTATAGTATTTTAAATGTCAGGATAATATTTTAAGTGTACTCATTTATGGGAAAATAATCGGATACATTTTTCTTTTTTGTTTAGATATGGAGTATGAAACAAGACAATTGTGTCCATGATTTGCAAGCACATAATAAAGAAATTTATACTATCAAATGGAGTCCAACAGGACCAGGGACTAATAATCCAAATGCCAACCTTATGTTAGCAAGGTGATATTTCTGTTTTAATCTTCCTTTTATGAGTCTTCTACAAATAAAAATTCTGATAAATATGACAGAAATTTAGGGAAAATTTCACGAAGTGGGTTTTTTTTTTTTTCTTTTTTTAAATTTCAATCGTTTTTGGTGTACAGGTGGCTTTTGGCTACAAGAATAAGTTCTTTAGTGGTGATTTCTGAGATTTTCATGCAGCGATTTTGCAAACAGTGTAGTGTACCCAATATGTAGCCCTTTATTCCTCACCTCCCTCTCAACCGTCCCCGACCATCACCTTGAGACAACAGAGTTCATTATATCATTCTTAAACCTTTGTGTCCTCATAGCTTAGCTCCCACTTAGAAGTCAGAACATACTTGGTTTTTCATTCCTGAGTTACTTCACGTAGAATGATGGCCCTCAGCTCTATCCAGGTCACTGCAGAAGACATTATTCCATTCCTTTTTGTGGAATATGTATATGTACACCACATTTTCTGTATCCGCTGGTTTGCTGGTGGCATTTAGGTTGCTTCCTTAAGGGTAATCTTTACACACAGGGTGTTGTTATTATTTCAAGTCATAGTGATATATTGAAATGATCAAATGCTGGTTACAGTGCAGGCAGCTGAGGCATAGCAAAATTAAGTGTCTTCAGTATGTTTAAAAAAAAATTAAAAAAATGGAAAAATGTGTTCACTTCAGTGTTGAAAACTATGTGAAGGAAGGATTATTTAAAGAGAAAAGGAATACAGTAAATCAATAACTACAGTAAAACATAAAACATTTATGTTTTCCAATCCTGGACTTGGGAGATTCCTTTATGTTTTCCTCTTGTTTAGCTTTCTCTTTCTAAATTTTATTTATTTATTATTTTCTTGTCACTGACTTGAAAGCTCACAGAATATTTTTCCTAACAGACCAATCGGTCTGCTTCTCATTAAGAATTTTCACTATTAGATGTGGCTGAATATGGGAGGTTGGGTGGGAGCAAGGTTGGGGGAGTATTTTGTTACTTAGAAATTAACTTTCTTTCTTTCTTTCCCTTTTCAGTGCATCCTTCGATTCTACTGTTAGGTTATGGGATGTAGACCGAGGGATATGCATTCATACCTTGACAAAACACCAAGAGCCTGTGTACAGTGTAGCTTTCAGTCCTGATGGCAGGTATCTGGCAAGTGGTTCTTTTGACAAATGTGTACACATCTGGAACACACAGGTATGTCTCCATTATTTAAACCATCAAGTACTCTCAAAATTAGAAGCATTTGCCTATATGCTCTCCTCCTCCCCACCCCACATTTGGTTGTCATTGCTCTTGTGGCATGAATTTAATTCTTGGTTTTAAAATAAGATACAAACCAACTGAAGTTATATATGGAGACCAGAATTTTGAAATGGATTTAGATTGCTTGTTTTATTACTATTTATTATTTTATTCTTTGGTTTTTTTTTTTTTCAAGTTTTTAACTTCAAGATCTCAAATGCGAATGTTTAAGATGTATTTATTTAGATAAATGACACATTTTATTTTCCAAAATAATTGTCTCTGAAGGGGATATATATGAGCAGTAGAAACTGTCAAGGGATCAGATTTTATGGCTGAATGGAAGGATTTATGAGAAGGAAAGTTAAAACGACGCTACTTTTCAGTTAGTATGTGTAGTGTTTCAGAGATTCTTTCTTAGAAATGGAGAAGACAGCCTGTTGCTTTCAGTTTTTAAAATCTCAGTGTTTTAGGTTTTTAAAATTTTTTTATTTATTTTTATTTTTAAAGATAGGGTTTCACCTTGATGGCCAGGCTGATCTTGAACTCCTGACCACAGGTGATCCACCCACCTCGCCCCCCAAAGTGCTAGGATTACAGGCGTGAGCTACCACACTCGGCCAGTGTTTAATGCTCCATGAACTACACTTTTTAATAGTCACTGGGCTCAACCCTCCCTTCAGTCATCACATCTTCGTTGGTTGTAGTGCACACATACTAAGTTGTCATGGGATATTTCGCTTTGTGTAGGTGACTGCCACTGTAGTTCCTTTCACAAATTAATTTTCATAACTTGCTTTCAAGATTTTTTTATTACGTACATTCATACAGTTCAGAGAAAAACCTTGTATACAACAATCCACTGAGAAAGTTTGTTCCCATTTCTGGCTTCGTCTCCTGCTGGTAACAACTTTTATTGGTTTTTATTTCTTCCTAATTCTATTTTTTTACCCCTGCCCTCTCAACCCAGCTTTTCCCGACTCCAGGAAGAGAAGGCAGCTAACTTCTTTTTATGAATAAAAGCGTTGTGTTTCTTTCATTTTATACTACCACTGGCAATATAACATAATATATTACCTCACGGTTCATTCTATTGGGGAAAGTGGAATTTCAGCACAGTTTTAAATTTGCATTTTTCTCACGAGTGACATTGGGAATCTTTAATATATTTAAGAGTACATGTTAGTTTCCTGTGAACTGTTTGATCATGTTTTTTCCATTCTTTCCAACTGGGTTAACCATTGTCTGGATTTCTAGCAGCTCTTTATAGAGTTTGTAATGTGAGTTAAACATTTTTGCTAGTTGAGCAAATGATTATTAAACCTGAATCTTACGTTATATTTTAATAAAAAAGATGAATGTTTTTATTTTTCTTTAAGTGGAGACGGGGTCTTTCTATGTTCCCTGAGCCTTGAACTCCTGGGCTCAAGGGATCCTCCCACCTCAGCCTCCCAAAGTGCTGGGATTACAGGCGTGAGCCACCATGCTGAGCCTTCTAATAAAACATTAGGCTGCACAAGGTGGCTTATGCCTGTAATCCCAACACTTTGCAAGGCCGAGGCGGGCAGTTCACTTGAGGTCAGGAGTTCAAGACCAGGCTGGTCAACATGGTGATACCCCATCTCCTAAAAACACAAAAATTACCCAGGCATGATGATGCACGTCTGCAGTTCCAGCTGAGAGAGAATCACTTGAACCTAGAGGCGGAGATTGCAGTGAGCCAAGATGGCACCACTGCACTCCAGCCTGGGTGACAAAGTGAGACCCTGTCTCAAGAAAAATAAATAAAATTTAGTAAAAATGTTCTCCTTTAATTTCTCATCATTACTTCCTTACCTCTGCTCCCATATTTTCTCTCTTGATGAATATATGCCTGGATATATTCTGTAATATGATATAGATGATTTAAAAACTCTTTTCTAAATTTTAGTTTAACTTTGTGTTTGTGGGAAGACAGCTAATCATGCACCCAGCCAAACTTAAACTGAACAACAGTTACAGAGTTGGTGAAAGTGAATCTAAATCTAAATAATACAATTTCCATGTATATTCAAGTTAGTCTTCATTCATTTTCACTTCTAATTATACATTTCACACAGAAAATAATATAACACTCATATACCTACTGCTCAGATTTAAATGATAAGAACATGTTGCCACACTGTTGTGAATCTCTTCCTTCCTATTTTTACCTGATAAAATGTTATAGATACAGCTAAAGTATTTATCTCCATTTTCCTCTTCCTTCCCAGAGGCCATAGTAATCCTCAAGAGAGTGCCTGTCATTCCCATGATAAATGATATATACTACTATTTTCTGTGGTAAAATTGTAATAAATCGTATGCTGTTGTGTATCTTCCGTTGTATGTCTTTTCAAGCCTGTACTTTCCACCACTTTGATTTTTGAAATATCACATTAATACTTTTATCTCTAGAATGATTTATTTAGACGATTTCAGATCATTATGTGAATATATTAATTTTAAAATTCATTTTCCTTTTGGGGGACTTAAAAATATGTAACATTACTGGCACATCCTTACGTTTCCTTGTGCGCATGAATGAAACTTTCTCTAATGCTTTAGTATACATACATACATAGATACATACATACATGTATATGTATCTGTAAGTGAAAATCATGGCCCATAGGGCATTTTTATGTGTTTGTGCCTAGCTGCTCTTCAACGTGCATACACCCATTTACCCTTCTAATCACAGTATTTGGGATTTCCCATTTTCCTTTATCCTTAGATTATCAGACTGGTGAACATTTTTCCAATTACATGGATATGAAACATTATTTTCTGTTATTTTGCATTTTCTTGGTTATCAATGAGTTCAAATGTGTTTTCAAACAGTTACCACACAGTTGGAGTTTAGCGTTTTAGTTCACCACCACCACCACCACCTTTCAGTTATTTTGGTTTCTATACTAATTAGTGTTCATGATGCATTCTGGGTACCAACTCTTCCTGGTCATATGGATTGCAGTGCTCTCCCAGTACCTTCTTTTTTCATTTTCTTCGAGCAGAGTGTTTATCATATAGAAGTTTTGTGGGGTTTGTTTTGTTTTGTTTTGTTTTGAGATAGTGTCTCACTCTGTCATGTAGGCTGGAATGCAGTGGCAGATCACAGCTCACTGCAGCCTTGACCTTCCTGGCCCAGGTGATCACTCCCACCTCAGCTTTCCCAGTAGCTGAGATCATAGGTACACACCACCACGGCCAGCTAATTTTTGTATTGATGGGGTTTAACCATGTTGCCCAGTCTGGCCACCTGCCTCGGTCTTGCAAAGTGCTGGGATCACAGGCATGAGGCACCATGCCCAGCTGATATGGAAGTTTTTAATGTTAATGTTTAGATATATTTATCTTTCTCTTTTTTAAATTAATTGATTATTTTTAGAGATGAGGTCCTGCTGTGTTGCCCAGGCTGGACTCAAATTCCTGAGCTGAAGAGATCCTTTCACGTCAGCATCCTATTATTAGCTGGGTCTGCAGGCACATGCCACTGTGCCCGGCTAGAACTATCTTTTTTGATAGACATATATATATATATATATATTTATTTATTTATTTATTTTTTTAAGACATTTTTCCTTACAGATGTCACTGAGGTCTGATATTTTTTCATGAAGTATTTTATTCCTTTACATTTATATTTTTAGCCCCATTAGAACTGATTTTTATATATGGTGTGAGGTACAGATTTAATTTTGTCTTTCCATTTGGGTAGTCAGTTGTCTTAGCACCATTCATTGTCCCCTTTCTGTTTTCATAATGCCACTTATTTCATATATCAAGTTCATGTATGTGCGGTTTGTTATACTTCCTCTTTTATTCTGTTGGTATGTTTGCCTTATCTGAATCAATAGCATAGTTCTAATAATTCTAACTTTATAAATCCCTCTTGTTACTGTTCTTCAGCATTGTTTTTCTGTTCTTGCCACTTCAGTCATCGATATTTCCAAAACAGAGCATAAAATTTTGTTTATGAGTACCTTGAATTTATAGGTGAAATTAGGGAAAATTGTTAAGTTTTATCACCCATAAATACACTATGTCTCCATTTATTTGTCTTTTATCACTTCAGTAAAGTTTTATAATTTTCCCAGTGTGTTCAGAGGTGTCTTAAAAGTTCCTGAGAATGACATCTTTTTAAAAATATATTCCTTTTACCTACTGGTTGTCACTTGTGTTTAGAACATGTTCAGTGAACTCAGTCCATTGTGACAACATCAGTTTTAATGAAATTTGGGTATAGAACTGTAGAGTGCTCATGGAAGATAACTACAGGACATGTAAGGGCATGTGACTAACTGTCTATATTACTTCGTTGTCACTACCGTGTACCAAAAGCCTTTTTCAAGCTTTGAAAATAGTAAAATAGTGGATTTTCAGTGCCGGAGAAAGCCGTTATCCTTTTGTGGTATATACGTTTAGGTGTTCTGCTTTCCCCTTGCTTGTACAATGAGTTTCCTAAGCATTTGGTGAGTAAAGTAGAAGTCTCGCGCCAGCAAACGTACAAATTGGAGGTAGACGCTGATGATCCAGGCCATTGGCCTTTTTAAATGTCATAGCTCTGCCTTGTTGACTATACTGTTTTGGTTCGTTATAGCCCAGTTCAAGATTGGTAAGTGCTTTTAAAAGAACGTTCTTTTGTTTTTTTAACCCCCAAGTTGGCTGTAGATTGAATGTCTGTAGGTTGACGATAGATTTTTTATACCTAATATTTTGTTGGTGCTACTTTTTCTCTCCTTGTTAACCATAGATACTCAAAGCCTACTATACTTGAACTTAATCTCATAAATTATGAGACATTTTAAGTTGGGAGAAATTTTAAATAAACAAAACAGTTGAGCCTTCCCAGCCTGATAATCAGTAGCAATGCATCCGTGATTTGTGCCACGTTACCAGGCTAAATTTGAAGAGGAAAGCTAGGTCAACGTTCTTCCAGCCTAGTGGTCAACTTGGATAGGCTGAATGGGAGGTATTTTCAAGGTATATGGTTTGCCGCCCTGTTGTTTTTAAATAGATCTACCTCTAGCTTGACTTAAGGTTACCATAAAGCTACAGGGGTCACTTTTCTGATTTGCCAGGGCAGAACACCAGAAGCACATTTTTCAGTTTTCACAACAGGACCTCTGATCTTTTGTCCTGTGAACTGACTGGTTTCGTAGGATAATACATTTTTGGACTGAGTTTTAATTCTTCAGTGACAGCTGAACAGTGAAATTGTTAGTATTCCTGGCTGTGTTTTTTGTTTACACTTATAACACCTTTCAAGAATAGTGTACGTATCTATCTGGGCACTGTGGCGCATACTTATAATCCCAACATTTTGGGAAGCCAGAGTGAGTGGATTGCTTGAGGCCAAGAGTTCAAGACCAGCCTGAGCAACATGGTGAGGGCTTGTCTCTACAAATAATTTTTTAAAATTAGCTAGGCATGGTGGCATGCACCTGTAATCCTAGCTACTCAGGAGGCAGAGGCAGGGAAGGATCACTCTAGGCCAGGAGTTAGAAGATGCAGTGAGCTATGATTGCATAACCGCATCCAGCCTGGGTGACAGAACAAGACCCTGGCTCAAACACAGGGTACATACATTATTATGGATCTCCTAACTTAGGGCTGCTCAGTGAATATGGAGTGAATAGCAGACTTTTACTGGAATTAGCTTTACTAGTTAGTTAATTTCCTCTCTTAAGCTGTTTTGTCAAAGAAATTCTGAGTTAATTTTTTTCTCTACATGTTAGCTAGACCCATGCATCATTTAGCAACAGCAAAAACTTATTTCATGTGATGCACTGAATGTTTACTTCTAGCTATTGTTGGCTATGTCAGAGAGACCAGATACCTTGTTATCATCACTGGAGAAACTGAATGTGTGTGTGTGAGTAATCTTTTGAGAACAGGCTGGTGTTATCTTTTCATAAAAAAAAATAAGGAGTTTCAGAACTTATTTTTATATTTGAAGCTAAGTCTCTCCTCTCATTGCTAGAAATAAGGCTGTGTAATATTTTTATCTCAGTATTTGGATTTATAATATGTATATGACTTTTAAGATTTTGTTTTTCATTCTTTTAGACAGGTGCTCTAGTTCACAGCTATAGGGGAACAGGTGGAATTTTTGAAGTTTGCTGGAATGCAGCAGGAGACAAAGTTGGAGCCAGTGCATCAGATGGTTCAGTAAGTACAGTAAAGTGTTTCCAAAGAGGGGTTGGGCGTGTGTTCACAGTAGCATGCAGCTTATTGTTAGCGATACACGAAAGTGGGTTTTTGTTCTTTTTTTCCAAATAAATTTTAAGGTATGATATGAGTTTTTTTTTTACCCTGAGGCTATAAATGTTTCATGTGCATTGCATTCAAATATTACAAACATAATTCACGCTTTCCTTACCAAAAGACTGCCTTATAATCTAGAAATGGACAGTTATTTTTAATCTGAGCCTTCATTTATGAAATTAGGTATACCAGAGTAGCACTCAGAGGATTATTGGAATTTTTAATGGGTATTTCTACTTTCTCCTCTTCACAGAAGAGTTTGTTGGCCCAGGGAAGGTGGGATTAGGGGCAGTTGGTTCCTCTGTTGAGGAATGTGTGATACTGAAAGGTTTTCAGGATGAGGTTGGCCAGCTCTTTACAGCAATGCAAATATGGCTTCCAAAGCTGTAGAAGCAATGGAAGGTGGGAAAGGGTAGCTGTTTACTGACGCTGTAGCTGAATATAATCTGTGATATCTTTCGTTAGAGTCCACTGGATAGGGAATGGTCTGTTTTGAGCATTTTCCCTCTCCTTTTTGATCAGCAGAGAGTAATTCCTAAAAATCCTAGCCCTGGTTTTCTCCCCATAGTTTGAGCTCATGGTTGTTCTCTTGATCTTCTTAAGTGATCTGATTTCTGTCAGTTTAGTGCCCATTTCCATGATTATTATGCTTTACCAGTTTTATAAACTTGGAACTAAGAAACATTTCAAATTGTACTATAGAAAAGTTAAACAAAAAATGTACAATGAAATTCTGAATACACTGGTTGACTATTTTAATTTCTTACAGGTTTGTGTATTAGACCTTCGGAAATAGCGCTACTAGTTGGAAGCCATGGACCGACTATGAATGTGTACATAGCCAAAATGACTGTCCCTGACCCATGTACTGCTATAGTCCCACTTGAACCATGGCCAGTCCACTACAGCCAAATCTAAAAGAAATATATACATACAGTGTATATAAACAAAATTGCACCCTGAAGATGACAGGTTTGTCACAGCTTGTGAATTTTGTTCACCAAGTGCTGGAATCTAATCTGCTGTGCCCCTAAAATAGCATTTAGAAGTTTTGGATATGAAAAACAGAAGAGAGAAAAATATACATTATAAAAGCAGAACATACATGTACCAGTTTTTGGATACTAAATGACAGCCTTGTTTCTCCCCTTTGAATCAGCAGACACCATGGAGTATATTCTTTTTTCCCTTCAGTAGCGAGCAGTTTGTATGTACAGAGAAAATGGACTTACAGAAACTTGCAGCAGTAGTGTGTTCTTGCTTTAACATTTTGTTTTTGGTTTAGATTATGGATGCATGAAGTAAGGGAGTGAATCAGTTTCTTGTTTATATTTTTTTCACCTTTTGAACAACAAAAAAATTCTTTAAATATTTTAATGCATTCTTTTGAAGAGGTAGATGTTTGGTACACTTTATGGCTCCCAGAGCATATATTCAGTTGGTGCATGTTGTGGAAGGGGAATCGGAAATTAATGAAAACAAATGACTTTGGTCATGTCGATCTGGAAGACACATCAGTAAAAGGGTATTATGCTCTGTTGGTTCTGTTTTTTTGTTTTGTTTTGTTTTGCTTTTCTTTTTCTTTTTTTTAATTTTTGTTTCCTTTGTTTTTTGGTGATGTGGCTTAAATGCAATAGTTTCTTTTTTGGGACATATTTCTGCCAATTAATGACTAGAAGGGCACAAAGTTTTTTTTTAATTACCATAGAGAAGATACATTAAAAAAAAAAAATCTTCTGATGTTTTGTAGCCATAACTAAATTATGGTAAAAATGTGCACTATTGTGAAAAGGAGCAAAGTAGTTTTGGGTTTTTGTTGTTTGTTTGTTTTGCTTTGTTTTTTAAGAGATTAAAATGTTTCTGGATGAGGATTAGCTTCTCAAAGTGTCCATCATTCTGTGTAGAAGCTTAAATATGTAATGTAAGCAAACTCCAGTATTAAAAATCTCTCAAGTTGTTTTCTTTATACAAAGCAAGATAACGGCATATAACACTGCCATTACATGGCAAAATGTTTGCTACCTTAGTTTAAAGAAAATCTCTAAAACAAAAGACTTGCTTCAAGGTGTTTTTAAATAGCAGTGATTCAGAATTTTTTTTTTATGAGAAGTATAATTGCACTAACCTTCCTGCTGCTCTGATTCTGCATTTGTGGTACTTGTGACTACGTTTTTTCAAATATAGATAGATTTAAGCTGCTAATTTTTTTTCCAGTAATCACTACTATATCATGTCTTTTACTCTGTTTATAATATCAAGTATTTTCTTAAAGATATAGATATTAAACCTCTTGTGCTCATGCAAGTAAGAGTAACATATACAGACAAATGACTGCATGAGGCTGTGTTTATATGTGTGACTAATAAGGCTTGTCATGATTAACATAATCCGAGTATGTCATTTCTGAAGAGAATAGTCATTAAATTTATATCTCAAAGATTTTAATTAAGGAATTGCTTATTGTTGAGCTTAGCAAATTAATAACACTATTTCTGTCACTAATTATTTTGAGGCCTTTTAGTACTAAAAGTTTTGACCTGTGTTCTAAGTTGCAGTAGAAACTGATTTAACCCAAGTAATGCAGCTTTGGTTTTCAGCATTCATTGCTTTGCTATTTTTACAAAACAGCATTGATTGAAGCAAGTCTTGGTTTTAACTAAGGTAGGGTAGCATTTGCTATTGGTAAAGAGAATAAATACACTTAATTTCACAATACATTGTTATCTGTACCCCAGCTGTTGTTAGTGGGGACTATGATACTGTAATAATATTTTTAAAAATTTACATCCAGAGAGGCAGTCATTCACGATGGTTTTGTGCCAGCTCTTTTTAGGGTTTTGGATCATATTAGAGACATTTAGAGCTTATTACCGTTTGACTTATGTAGGAAACCTAATATGCTGAGTATCTGGCACTTGAATTCCTGCTTTTATTGCTGGAGGTCCACACCTGTGGTTGACCTCTGTTATTGTTTAAAAAAATAAATAAAAATAAAAAAAATCTGTGCAATAATTTTAAAATGTGCTCCCAGGAATAGACACAAATGTTTTGAGTATCTTTTAAGCTGCATTTTCCTTTAGCGATGCATTTGTCAATTGCACTGAATTTAAATCTGAAAGTCAGAGGTGATTATTGATAGTACTTTTGTATTTTGATATGGACAATTTATTCATTTGCATACAGTTATTGACTTTTTCCCAGCTGATTAAAAGATAGTCAAGAAATTCTGCAATATAGCTGCCAAAATAGACAGCTACATTTTTATGATATTGTCATCTTTTCTGTTTGGTTTTTTTTTCTTTCTGTAGCTATTTTACTTAAGCATAACAGCCACAATAAGACGTATAAAGATTATAAATACAGAGCTTTATTATCCTGACGTCTTGGGTCTTTTAAGTATACACTTTTCTGAAAGGTGTCCATTTTGTAGGCTTGGGTTCTTCATGAGCATACGATTGTTTCTTTTTGCTGCTGTTCTCAACATCACCATTGCCTGCTGATGTGCCACGATGCTGCTCCAATAGACAGAAATAAGATTGTCTCTAATTTGAGCAGTAACATGATTGCAAGAGACCAAGTTTCACAGCTTGTAAAGTTCTGTATTTGGGATTCTTGCTCATTTTTCCGCCTGTGTTTTTCTGAGAACTTATTCCTGATGATCAATTGAATCCAGTAGTTTTCTATGCTCTCTGTTGTTATATAAGCTACTGTAAGAAACTCATAAGGAAAAATAGAAGGGAAAACTTGAATGAACACTCATTGATTGAAATGGAATAAAGAAAGAGCAGCTGCCACTTTTAAACAACATAAAGGAACATCTTTTTCGCCTCCATGTAGGAAATCCCGTGAGTTCTTACATTTGTTCCAATCCCTGTTTTCTGCCATTGACCAGGTAACATGATGGACTTTCAAATGACTTTTAGAAGTGGTAACTCTTAATTTCCTAATAGATAATAGAGTGTATTGAATTCTGTTTCATTATTCTCTAGGTAAGTATGTTTTAGGATTAAATACCTTTTACAGATACTGAAAGTGCCTCCTTTTGTGGTGTAAAAAAACAAATTATGGTGCAAAAAGTAATCACTAGATTGAATTACATGAAGGTTTTTTGCTTTTTGACATATGAAGATGTCAAGAGAAAGGCCAAAGATTTGTACTTTTTCACTTATAAAGCACTCCTGTTTTCCTTACGCTTCTTTCTGTCAAATTAGATTTAATGAGAGAGTACTATTTTTAAGGAGCTATCTGTTTATGTAGAATGATTTTGTTAAGAGTAATGTAAACTATTATTGAGTAGAGGCCTAAAGAGGACTGTGCATTTTTGCTAAAGGAATCACAAATGATCATACTTAAGTGAGCAAAAATGACGAGTTTTACTAGATAAGTAGAGAAATAAATCTCAAATGCAGTGCTACAATTTTCATTATCTGAAGCACATTTTACATTTCTACAGAACCTGTGATGATTCTCACATGCTAAGGATGGTACTTGCATATGGTGAATTACTGTTGACAGTTTCCGCAGAAATCCTATTTCAGTGGACCAACATTGTGGCATGGCAGCAAATGCCAACATTTTGTGGAATAGCAGCAAATCTACAAGAGACCCTGGTTGGTTTTTTGTTTTCTTTGTTTTTTCCCCCTTCTCCTGAATCAGCAGGGATGGAAGGAGGGTAGGGAGGTTATGAATTACTCCTTCCAGTAGTAGCTCTGAAGTGTCACATTTAATATCAGTTTTTTAAAACATGATTCTAGTTAAATGTAGAAGAGAGAAAAAAGAGGAAGTGTTCACTTTTTTAATACACTGATTTAGAAATTTGATGTCTTATATCAGTAGTTCTGAGGTATTGATAGCTTTCTTTATTTCTGCCTTTACGTTGACAGTGTTGAAGCAGGGTGAATAACTAGGGCATATTTTTTTTTTTCTAGTAAGCTGTTTCATGATGTTTTCTTTGGAATTTCTGGATAAGTTCAGGAAAACATTCTGCATGTTGTATCTAGTCTGATGTACTTATCCATCTCATTGCAAACAAAAACACGCAGGCTGCATCTTGTAGCTCTGTAACCCTTGAATACAGAAGTAAATTTTCCTCTTTCCTGACTTTGACATTGTAGCTATACTGTTTCCATTTTTACTTTTACAAATCCTTTGGGTCTAATTCTGTGAGCCTACCTATAGCACTGGATTAAAATGTCTGCATCATTTCTTTAGTTACCCAGTTAACTTTAAAACTGTTGTAAAAGTGTAAACCAGCCCATGACAGTTTTTTTGTACATGTTGAAGAACTTCATTGTTCAGTTTTCATGCTTATTGTATAAGGAAGACTGATAGAGATGTTCTGTGCTGTCCTGGACCATGTTAACTACACTTACGATGTATTTTGGTTCCACATCACAATGATTTGTCCCCAGTGACCCTTTTATCCTTTCTAGGCACATTTTTTTGTTGTTGTTGTTGCAGTTTCCCTTTGCATTGTATTGCTTTGACAACTGTAATTTGAATCAGATCTGAAAGAGGTCCAGAATAAAATATATTTTGATATTATGTTGGCTGTGTACATATATAAAACCTTTGATATCTCTGCAGATTGTATAGACCATTTACTAGTCAAGTAAAGAGAGAGGGATGGTGTTTCTTGTTTACATTTTACTTGCTTTTACTTCTCCAGTATTCTGTTTGTAGAATAAATCTTTCTGCTCCGAGTTAGCCTTCAGAACCTGTAACATGTTCATTCTCTCCCACACTGGTGTTAACTGATTATAACTGCCATCGGAACCCAAGCCACTGTTTTTCATAAACAGACTGCTTCCCAAAATATATACTTTAAAGTAAGCCCATAATAAAATGACAAATTTTGCTATTTTTATTACTTCTTGCAGGAGATAAGATTTTTTTAAATGAAAGGGTTATTTACTATTTTTATTAAAGAATAATAGAGCATCTAATCAGCTAAGGGATTGTAATTTTTAATTCTTTTGAAAAATCAATATTGTATTTAAAAGACATTATTTCACATGAACTAAAAGAGACCTTAGATGCATTTGTTTGCTTAGCCACGTGTTTGAGCACAAAACGATATGTAGATGTGTTGAAGGAGGGCGGGAAGCTCAGCTTCCTCAAGGGCCTCTCTTTGCTTCACAATAAGCCAGTTACAGTTTAGTCTTTTCTCTCTTAGCTACTTGTTACTACAGACTTTCTAATCTAAGAAAAATGACTTAGACACCTTTTAGTTTTAATTAATACCAACTCCTTTAGAGTTAGAGACTTTTGTAAAAGAATCATTGAGCATATTTTTTCTTTTGTTTTTTAAGAACTTACACTCTCCAGGTCTTCTATTTCTTTCTCTATTTCCTTAAGTACATCAAGCATAGTTTTACGTTTTATTACACATCAGCCACAGCAGTTGCTAGAACTGCCATCCTTCCATTTTCAAGGGGTTGACTTTTACTGCATGGCATAGATTGCTAACAGGACCCCACATTGTACACTATTCCAAAAAGTGTTGGACTCCTAAGGATTTAGAATCCCTGTAAGCCTGAGGGAAAGCTAAAATTTATTTGAATTTGAAGGGATTCTTTTTAATTTCAAAGTTCTTATGCTTTACAGTGGGTTAGATTTATTACCTAGTATAATCCATATCAGATCAGATCAAAGTTTACTGTTTACCAATATATTCATTTGGAAAACACAGTGGAGGAAAAGACACTATAGATGGTAGTTATATGGTGCTTTTCTCTGCTGTACCAAAGTGCTCTGTCACCAGTGAAATGTTAACCCTGTGCTACTTTTTCTGCATGCTGCTTAAATGTCGTCGCAATGCTTAATTGTCCTAACTTGTAATATTTTTGTATTAAATTTTTTTAGGAGTTCCTTGTAATTTCTTTACAATTTAAAATATATTAAACACAAAGTGTTTAGTAAAGTACAGAAGACAATTACTAATGTTTCTTGGTTGTTGGGTTTGTATGATCAATTGGGCAGACACTTTATATTTTAAGAACTAAGACCTCTGCATTACCCACAGGGAGAAAAAAATGAAAGAACTAAGACCAATGGGGTGGAACCTATACCAAAAAAGATACCACAATCCTATTTTTTTTTTTAAACTTGCTACCATACTAATCTAATGTCAGAATGAGCTGCCTTAAGAGATGCTGTGCTACCAGAAAGTTCTAAAGCATAGTTTGGGTGGGCACTGGCTACCGTGGAGAAAGTAAGCACTGCCGGAGCACCTCAGATCGACTCTTGCATTAAAAAATCTAGTCATGTTGAACTTCACAGTCAGAAATCAGACATTTAAAAACAGGATCAGCTTCCAGCATCTCCCGCATTCAACACGGGGGATTCTGAAAAATCTACACGTTGTCAAGACAAGACCTTTTCCCTAAGCTTGTATTGGTTTAATGTATGTACACTTACTTGACCATGTCAATTATCTGATTTTCCAACTTAGATACCTGAGGAACAGTGCTCCCCCATAGAGAGGGAGAAATAGCTAAAGCTCCTAGCAGAATGAAGAGCTGCCATTTGTGGTGGCCTAGAGTCACCAAATAATTCAGGTTTAATGTGACATAAAAATTCGCTATGTAATACAGATCTTAATATTTCCACCTGAAGTGGTAGAAATATTTGAGCGTCTGGGAATAAACTTTGAAGTTGGACAGATTTGGTATTGAAGTAAATGAAGTCTTAGAGTAAATCAAGAGTCAATTAGTGGTAAATTTTACTTAAACGGTATTGGTTAACTTGGAATGTGCATCTTTAAACAAGTAAACTGCCTTGTCCTACCCCGACCTGTTGGCTAATACGGTGGCACAAGGTAAGTGTGCCTCTGTTCCTATGCTTGGTTTTGTGTGATAGGTAATGTGGTGGGGGACAGTGGTCACTGGCATATATTTATTGTAGAGCACATGCTGGTAAAAAGTTTGAATATAAGGTATAAATAATAGATGCTCATTGTCAAGCTCCCAACCAAGTCTTTAGTGGTATCCACTGTTAACTTGATATATGTTCTTCTAAACATTTTCAATACGTACTTTTAAAGAAAACAGAAATACACATGAGATCATAATCATTGAATTCAGAAACTCACTTCTTCACAGAGATTAGGGGCCACTGTCCCATCCACTTAAGTACTTACCTATACTGTAGATGTAGAATATCCTGTAGGATTCGAGGGCATGAATTCTGCTTACCTGGGATGAATCTAGACTGCTTGGCCTAAGGAATTGCCATCTCGGTTCCTTGTTTGTAAAATGGGGATAATAGTTACTCATCTCACAGATGGATTATGTGGATTAAAATGTTAATATAAATAAAGCTTTTGGAGTATGGTGCCTGATTATATAAAGCACTCTAAACATTACCAATCATTTTTATTTTTAATGATCAGATTTTATTGTACACCAAGATTTAGCCTCCTATAATGTAAATTTCCTTTTTCACCATTTACTATTACAATGGAGCAATAAAACATTTGTATCTACAGGATAAATACAGCAGTCAATTCTGATGTACACCCCTGTTTAATACACACTTCAAAGAGTCTCTCAAACTCTTCTCCCAGCCACTTCCTGGCACTAAGAATGTATTATTTCAAAAGGAGCCATTTAGGAATTTGTAGAAGGGAGATTTTTTCTGAAAAGTGCTTTGTATATTTACTCAGGGTAGTATAGGAAAGAGTAATCTAGACATGTAAGTAACAATCTGGGTTAGGGAATCAGCAGAAAACTAAATTTTTAAGCCTATGTTCTTCAGTGTTTAAGTACAATGATGAAGATTTGTCAATTGGATGAAAATATTTCTACTGCAGAGCCCAGTGTACAGGTTAAATCCAATTGTAAACTTCATGGAACTTCCACACTTACTAGCGTATACTAACATTGCTGGAAGCCAGCTTCCTGGTCTGTTTGCTGATTTAGCAAACATTTGGGTTTTTGTTTTTTTTTGTAGGGCTTTTTAAATGTTAAGGCAACTTTCACCTATTTTGCCTTTCAGAGTCCTGGGTCCTCTTTTTTTTAATTCAGCAAATATTTGTTGAGTAATGTTTTCTGAAAAGTGTGTCTCGCACTGGATATATAGTAGTGAGCAAGAAGAAAAAGAGGCTCTGTTCTTGTGAAATGTAACTGCCAGGGAAGAGAGTTTACTAAATCACTTTTTCTAAACCAGAAACTGCCAAACACTGCCAGTTTCAAATGGTTCCACCTAATCCCAGGTACTGTGTTTGCAAATGGCCAGGAGTACCTAACACCTTGAGTTTTGATCCTTAAACTAAGCACACTTCGCTCTCTATGTCCCAGGAACAGCTTCTTTGTGATACACATTACACTTGTAATTACATGTTTTTTTTTTTTTTTTTCCTGAGACATGGTCTTGCTCTGTCACTCAGGTTGGAGTGCAGTGGCATGATCCCAGCTCACCACAACCTCTGCCTCCTGGGTTCAAGCAATTCTCCTTCCTCTGCCTCCCACGTAGCTGGGATTACAGGCATCTGCCACCACACCCGTCTAATTTTTTGTATCTTTAGTAGAGATGGGGTTTCACCATGTTGGCCAGGCTGGTCTCAAACTCCTGACCTTGAGATCCACCCACCTCGGCCTCCCAAAGTACTGGGACTACAGGTGTGAGCCACCACGCCCAGCCGTAATTACATGTTTTATGCCTGTCTTCTAATGGTCACTATTTTAAGAAGTGGGTATGTACATCTTCAATTACCACTTTTTAAGCAGTGTACACCGATTTTTCAATCATGAAAGGTCAAGAAATGTGGCACTTCATGCTTCCACTTAGAGGTTCATTGTGATTTTTCCTTTGTATTTGTTTTTATTGAGACAATTTTGCTCTTGTTGCCTAGGCTGGAGTGCAATGGCGTGATCTCGGCTCACCACAACCTCCGCCTCCTGGGTTCAAGTGATTCTCCTGCCTCAGCCTCCCAAATAGCTGGGATTACAGGCATGTGTCACCAGGCCTGGCTAATTTGGGATTTTTAGTAGAGACGGTTTTCTCCATGTTGGTCAGGCTGGTCTTGAACTCCCGGCCTCAGTTTATCTGCCCGCCTCGTCCTCCCAAAGTGCTGGGATTATGGGAATGAGCCACTGCACCCGGCCAATTTTTTACTTTTTAAAGGCAATTGGCATATATTTTTCTATTACTGTTGTTAAAGTCAGGAACTCAGATGTTGAAATGTTAATGCCAGCCACTGTCCCTCTCCTCGAACCCTCATCCCTGTGTGGTTTCCAAAGAAACTATATTAATCAGAGTACCTCTTCGTTAACTAGCTGCAAGAGCTACTCCCATCGTCTAGCTCAACTCCAGAGAGAAGCCGGTTTGGAGTTTGATTTCAGGCTTTACCACTCAAAAGGGTGGCCCATTTAGCTTTATCTGGAAACTCTAGAAACCATCTCAGGTTTCACCCAGGGTCCTAATCAGAAGCCTCGTTGACAAGATCTCCCAGTGAACTGTATGCACGAGAAAGATTGTGAAAAACTAGTTTAGGGTCTAAGTCAAAATAGAGTTGCTAGCAGGAGTGAAGTAGAGGAAGAAGG